TCTACTCAAAGAGATTGATCCAAATAAAAAGACAAAAAGTAAATGTTTTAAGTTAAAATAAAACATTCAAGTTACCTAACCAATGGTCCTAATTACACAGAGAAGGTCCAAAAGATCTCCACAACACTCCCTCCAACGAGGGGTTCCCAAAGGCCTCCTGCCACTTTTCTTCTGCTCTCTGCTTATAGGATAGGAGCAAACTGAAAACTACATGTGTCCAAGAATGAGGTATCCATCACAGTGAGAAACTGCAAGAATAAGGATTTAATTCACTTATAACGCATAGATATTTAATAAATCTTTATTGAACACCTGACCAAAACCCTTAAGATCCATCAACAAATAAAACAGACAAAAAGCCGTGCCTTCACAGAGGTTATAGTGTGTGTCAGGGACAGAAAAAGGAGACAATGAACACAACAAGGAAATTGTATAGTGTGTTGGAAGGTGCCAAGTGCCACGGAGAAAACAGGGCAGGATACAGGGATCATAAGTAGGGGAGTAGAGCTTCAAGTAAACCAATAAGATAGACCTTTTGAAAAACAATTGAAGAATAAAGATTTGAAGAGTACAGAATTGGTCATGTTGATTATTTGGGGGAAAAGTGATCCAAACAGGGACAACAGCCAATTTAAAGGCTTTTACTCTGCCTATGAGAAGTCATTGCAGGGTTTTAAGGAGAGAAGTGATACGATCTGGTTGCTGAGTTGAAAAAGACCAAAGGGAGCTAGGGAAGAAGCAGGAAGGCCAGTTAGGAGGCTAACTGCAGAAATCTAGGCTAGAGATAAGATGGCCAGGACCAACCTCGCAAGCAACACAGGTGGTAAGAAGTGACTTGATTCTAGATATATTTTCAAGATAAGATAGAGCCAAGAATGCCAAGTGTGAAAGAGATAAGTTAGGAACGACTCCAAGTTTTTTTGTGTGTGAATGCTGGATGGAGCTACCACCAAATGAGACGGACTAGACTGCACCTGAGGCAGGTTTAAAGTGAAAAATGGAAGTTCAGTTTGAGTTAATTACTTCACCTACAAGCAGAAATGCAGAACAGGTTGTCTGGAGTGCAGAAGGAAAGCCAGGGCTGGAGATATAAATATGGAAGCCATCAGCATATAGGGATTTAAAGCCATGACATTGGATGAGATCACCAGGGAAATAAAAAAAAGAAAATGAACCAAGGACTGAGCACTTCAAGAGTAGAGGATGAATCATAAGGCAGAAAGAGCAAAGCAATTAGTGAGGAAAGAAACCCAAAAAGCACTGTGCCTGAAGGAGGGAAATATAAACAAAGTTCCACTTTGCTGAAACCAGATTTAAGTTAAAAGTTCTTAATCAGGGGCGCCTGGGTGGCTTAGTCGGTTGGGCGTCCGACTTTCGCTTAGGTCATGACCTCGCGGTTCGTGGGTTCGAGCCCCGCGACGGGCTCTGTACTGACTGCCAGCTCAGAGCCTGGAGCCTATTTCAGAGTCTGTGTCTCCCTCTCTCTCTGACCCTCCCCGGCTCACGCTGTCTCTCTCTCTCTCTCCTAGAAATAAATAAAAATATAAAAAAAAAAAGTTCTTAATCAGACTGTAGTAGTTAAGGTGATATATAAAATACTAAATCATAACTTTTACAAAAGGAGTGGAACGTTTCTTAAATAGTTCCTAGAAATACTCTATTTCCTATTGGAGTCTCTATTAAAATTAGTCTTAGCGCTAAAATTATATTTTGTCTATTTATCTTAACATAAAAGGAAAAAAGAAAGCCTATATGGTCCGCACTGCCATCTCTCTCAAAGACCAAAAATTCATTTAAACAGCAAGTCAACAGACTGGCATACAAATAATTATAAATTGTCATCACTTTTCCTTTTCTAGAGCTCAGATACCACAGGTTGAGTTAATCAAACTCCTTGGTTCATAGTTCTTAAGATTTTTTCCCGTTTAATCTTAATTTTGTTTATAGAAAAAGTAGCATATACTTCTATGTAAATCAATGTTTTCCCTGTGATTTGCACATAAACTAAACTTTTAGGATGAGAACATCCAAAGTCATGTTCACAAAAACTGAAGGAGAAAGCAATGAAACTCAACTCTATGCATAACAGTGATCGATGTCATTTCTAAAAAACCAGTTACTTGCTTCCAGCCTCTAAATGTAGTCTGGATTTACCTTCAAAATAACTAAAAACCTAAAGACTACACAGAACAAGCAGTTATAAGATGTTATCCTCAAATATTTGATGCTCCTACAAAGCATGGTCTCGCCACATTTCTTTATTACATATTAGAGGTCAAATTGCTAAAAAATCCAAAACCTTCCTGAAAACACTAAATTTACTAACAAATGAAAGTTTTACAAAGTATTACAAGACCTTTTAGGTCAAGATTTTGCTAAACAAAAATTATAATATTCAACTAAAAATATACCTTCCACATTTTTTCAAGTAAAATTCAATTTTTATTTCAGTTACAGTAACAATCTTGAGTCTTGTAGAAATTTCAAAAAAGCCCTCACTTCTTAGGCACTTAAAAAAAGCCATACTGAATAAACTATTTGTTTAAAAAAAAAAAAAAAAAGAAAAGCCATATTGATGGGGCACCTGGGTGGCTCAGTCAGTTGAGTGTTTGACTGAGCTCAGGTCATGATCTGGCAGTCTGTGAGTTCCAGCCCCGCACTGAGCTCCTGTGCTGACAGCTCAGAGCCTGGAGCCTGCTTCAGATTCTCTGTCTCCCTCTCTCTCTGCCCCTCCCCCACTCGTGCTCACTGGCGAGCATACACACCTGCACGCGCTGGCTCTCAAAAATTTAAAAAAAAAATCTTTTTTTAAAGCCCTATTATGGAAGGGGTACCTGGATGATTCAGTTGGTTAAGCATCAGGCTTTGGCTCAGGTCATGATCTCACGCTTCATGGGTTCAAGCCCTGCCTCGGGCTCTGTGCTGACAGCAGGGAACCTGGAACCTGCTTCAGATTCTGTCTCCCAATCTCTTTGCCCCTCCCCAGCTCACACGCGCTCGTGCTCTTGCGCTCTCTCTTCCCCTCCCTCCCTCTCAAACATCATTAAAAAATTTTTTAATTAAATTAATTAAAAAGCCATTTTGACTGTTAATTAACATCTGATTATTAAAATGTTCTCCCCACGTTACAGCCTACCAACTGGAAGGATGCTTCTTGGGGTCAGACACCCAAGACAGCACTTGCATCAAGCAGAAAAGACTACTGATGCTTAGGAATGACATAGAAAAAACTAAATTGGGTACAAAATCATAAATTAATGACCCTCTGGAACGTTGACCTGAATCATCAAGAAAGGTTTAAATAATACTCGATATCCTTTACAATTTTAAAGAGCTTAATATTTTTAAGAAAATTTTTCATTAGGCTTTATCTTAGGCTCCAGTGTGACTATGAGTCTCAGAAAGGTAAATACAACACAGCATTCTCCAAGCACACTTGACAGAGATACAGTTATGACTGCACATGCTGCAAAATTAGAAAAGACATTTCTAATTTAATGTTACAGAAAAAAATGAATTTTTCTTAAAACCTACAAACAATAAACCTAGATGTTTCTGTTGGATCCTTGAATGAAAGGAGGAGAGAGCTTGTTTATCACAGAACACAGTTAACACGAAAGTCTACAGCAGGGAACGTCTACCCAAAATAAGCTCAACACCAGAGTACTCAGTGTTATTCTTGAGAAGATCATCCCAATCTTGCCGGCAACCGTGTTAGCCAAGCTGAAGGCAGTGTGGCCATTTGCCTACTAGGTGAGATAGGACAAGTGTAATCTAATTTAGCAAGAACTCAAATTTTAAATCAATTCCTACACAATTCAAAGTGTTTTTGTTCACCACACGGTATTTATCTATAAGCAGGTTACGCCTGTCTAAAATTTTCAAGACTTTCCACAAGGCATCTCAAAAAAACCCCACAACTTGTAACAGTTAGCTCCTTCAGCAGCGCCTATTCACATACCTTCTAAGGAATCCTTTTCTGATACAGGCCCAACTACGAATTTCGATTCCTCCTTCCTCCCAGAAGAAGGAAAGGATAAAAGTAACCAGCCCTCTCTTTAGCCTGATGAAGCTGCAGCCGGACGAGGTTAGGATGCCGCTACCGGCGTTGGGAGCTGCACGTCTCTGGTGCACACATGCTCCTCGACGACCAACGTTGCGGGGCTGCACATCCCACGCCAGGTGTCTGATTACCGTACGACTTTTCTAGGCTGCCGGTTTGGTTTGCTGCCGAGCTCCCCAATGCCAAAATTCTTATTGTTGGAAACTGAAGGGGGAGGGGAAATCACTAAGGAAGACACACCCCTCAGAGAGAGGAAAGGGTAACTTCCCCCGTCTCGAGGGCGGTCCAGAGATTTTTCCAAACTCTCCCCACACGCAGCTTTCCCAGCCCCAACCTCCCCCCTACCTCCCGACCGTGACCCGGGGACACGCACCCGGCGGTGGGAGGGGGCACTGGGAAGGAGGCCAGCACCGGTTCCCTAAGTATCCGGAGGGACAGCGAGAACTGAAATTCCAGCATGGCGTAAGCATGGCCCAGCTCCGGCCCAGGGACGCCGCCGGAGACGCGCTCCCTCTGTCCGCCGGCCGAGGAGGCGGTAATCCGCCTTCCTCCTGGGGGCCCACAGGCCCAGCTAAAAATAGGCGCCTCGGTCACCCCGGGGCCCTCTCCGGCCAACCTCGCACCGGGAGACGTCCCCGAGGGACTCCGGGGCCGCGCTCGTAGGCGCCGCGGCAGAGCCGGGGTCGGGCCATGGGCGGCCGGGCGAGGCCAAGCGGCCCCTCGGAGCCCGCCCGCCGCGGCGGCCCGATCCAGGCAGGAGCCTCACAGGGGCGCCCCGGCGCCCGAGGCCTACCCGGCGGGCGGTGGCAGCGGCGGGCGGTGTCCGGGCCCCGGGGCCGCGCCCCCCGTCCGGCGGGGCCCTCCCGCCCGCCCTGGGACACCACGGCCGGCAGAGCCCTCCCCACCGTGGTCCCCGCGGCCGGCGCGGCCTGCTCACCCTTATCCTAAGCAGCCGGGGAAAGAGACCGGGAAGACGCGGCGGCACCGGCACTACAGCCCCGGCCGCCCGCTCAGAGGCGCCGCCGCCGCCGCCGCAGTTGCTCAGGTGCCGTCTCGCCGCCCGGCAGGAAACGGGCGGCTTCGGGGCGGGGCGGCCCCCGGCACGTCCCGGCGTCTGGGCCGGCAGTGCCTGGAGACCGGCCCCTTAAAGGGACAGGCGCCCGCCTCCTTGGCCCTGGCGCGCACGTCCGTGGGCTCCGGTGAGCGCCAGCGTGCTTCTGGGTCGGGATTCCGGGGCTTTCCTCCCGAGGCAAGTCCCGCAGCTAGCTGGAGGGTGGGAGTCGGGGGTTTGGAGGCTCAACGAAATTCCCTTCATTCATTAGCCCTGCTCTCGTTCTCTCGCCTCTCTCCTTTCCCCAAAGCTGGTTTCGTCTTGCATGGCCCTCCCACTGAAGCACCACCTGGCCCCCACACTAGATGATTTTTTTTTTTAACCTTAACCAAACGGTAGTCGATTTCACCCTGCCCGTCCCAGATTTCCTCCCAGAAATCACTAGAAAACGAAAATCCGCCCCTCTGTCTCCAGAGTTTCTCTGAATTCTCCTTCGGGTAACCCTAGCTTCAAATGGAAAGAAAAATTAAAAACCGACCCAAACAAATTGTGTGCAAATATTATGAAACTCTGTGTCTGCCAGCTGGTGGCCATTCATTAAGCCAGAGTAAATAACAAGAAACTGCAGCGGAAAGGAGAGGTTGGCCCGAATCCCTGCTTATTAGTCTGTTCTTTGCTGAGAGGACAGCAGCGATCTTCCTGGTCCACTGGCAAAGGAGATGTGCTGATTATCACTGCTTATTGCTCATCAGTCTCTTGTAGAATGCCAGGCACTGCCCAGAACATGTACAAACACCCCAGGCTCTCCTCAAAAATGATTCAAACTCTGTTAGAGTGTGGATAGAGATAAATAAAATAAGGACTCTTCACTAACTCTTCCTCCTACCTCCCGACCAAGGAGGAATAAAAGCAATCTTTAAGGACTGAACATCAGAACAGTTCCTACACCAACAGAGAATTTCCTGTATGCGGACTGGCTAAAAACGCACTATACGTTTGTACTGTAATTATTTCGTCCAAGCTTTCTAGAGCAACTCCAAAGTACAAATGAGAACTGAACAAGGATGTATTAGCCTGAGATGTTGAGAATTCTGCCCGTCTCCAGCCATTATTTCCTACAAAAATGCATTCCATCTTATTTTAACTCCAGAAGTGTCCTCCTTTTCCTTTCTCAATAGTGCTACTCAGTCCCTCGGCTGCTCCAATGCCCTCAAAGCAATCTATCTCTAAACCACTGGCTGTCTCCTAAGCATATGCCAAAGGATCTAGCTTTATTGAAGAGTGAAGCCACTAGACTCAATATAAAGGAGGAAGTGCATCATTTGTATAATGGAGTTTAAGGACTCTTTTTTAAAATGTTTAAAAATGTTTTATTTATTTCTGAGAGACAGCATGAGCAGGGAGGGTCAGAGAGAGAGGGAGACACAGAATCTGAAACAGGCCCCAGGCTCTGAGCTAGCTGCCAGCACAGAGCCCGACGCAGGGCTCGAACCCATGAACTGCGAGATCATGACCTGAGCCGAAGTCGGATGCTCAATTGTATGAGCCACCCAGGTGTCCCTAAGGACTCTTGATTAGCTTACAAACAACCACCTAACTTCCTCTGGTTAGTACCAAGGCAGGTTTTAGGCTAGAATAAAAATTTCTATCATTTTTCTGACTTCAGTAATACCTCAGTGTTTTTCTAGAGATCGTAATATTTAAGTACATTTGTATATAAGACAGTAAGTGGAGCTTGGGGACATCTTTATCCTAAACATACTAAGTTTTACAGTCAGAGCTCACTCATTTTTGTGTGTCATAGTTTGAAATAAAGAAGCATAAGTGTATCAGCTATTTCAATTTTTCTGGGTGGTTGAACTTTGACTTTTTAAAAGGAAAGTGATTACATGCTTCATTCTTTATAAGGTTTCTATTTATTCACAGCTAAACAAAAAGACAAACTAGAGCTGTTATGCATGGTAAGCCCTATTAGGAATTAAGACCTACCCTGTAAGTTTTTAAGCATAGTATAATATAACTATAATTAACATATAATTAACCTAAAATATAGTTAATCTTGGATTCTGCTTACTGCCTTCCAAAACTACTAAGACAGCAACTAAACTGCTAAAAAGCATTAGCAACTGAGGTATCTCTAACTGTAACAACTAAGAAATTAAATTTGATTGAAAACTGTGAAGTGTAACACTGTCACCTAAAGACTACTCATCTCTCTCTTAAATGTCTCTCTTTTAAATGTAACAAAGTGCAATTTACTGGACTGTGCCTTCTGATAATAATTCTCTTCATTCTGAATTTTGGAAAAGTTTTAAAGACACATAGTACACATCTCTCCAGCAGAGAGAGAGAGAAAGCTGACCATTCCTGTTTAGGGAAGATTTCCCAGAAGTGGTGAGTTATACAGAGATTTGAGTAATATGTAACAGATTACATCTCCTATTCCATCAGATCAGAGATGACAGAGATGAAAGTATAATGAAGCAATTCACGGAACTAGAAGTAAAGGGCAGATTCCAGGTACACCTTCTCAACACGTTAATGGATTGGGGAAGTTCATAGAAACATCTGCAGCTGTAGATCGACAAGTAATCAGTTATCCCAACAAAGTATCTGGCATGTAACTGTGTTTACTGGAAATCTACATTATGCCCCTCTGACATGTAGTCTCTTCAAGGATATGGTATTCAGGTGCTTTCATGACCAATTACTTGCTACTCTTTGCATGGAGAGGTGGGTTCTGTGTCCCCTCCTCTTGAATCTGGGAAGGCTCTGTGACTGCTGTGACCAATAGGTAGAAGTAAATGTCCCAAGTTCTGGGCCCAGGCTCTAATAGGCAGCTCTACTTCCTGTCTCATGGAATCATCTACCTTAGAGCCTTGAGCTACTAGGTGTGAAGCCCAACTAGTTTGCTGGAGAGACCATGTGGGGAACTTGTGAGACTACATGGGGAGGAAGAGAGACCCATGTGGGCCTAGCCTTCTAACTGTACCTACCACTGTGCCAGATAAATGAATGAAGCCTTCTAGAATCCCAGACTTTCTACTCCACAACTTAAATACCACCAAGTGTCCCTGGCCAGTACCGCATGGAGGAGAAGACTCATCCAGCCAAGCTCTGCTTGAATTTCTCACCCTATATAATTTTTATAATTTGTAAAATGTTTTTATTTATTTTGTGAGAGAGAGAGAGCAGGGGAGGCACAGAGAGTGAAGGAGGCAGAGGATCCCAAGTGGGCTCTGCACCAACAGCAGAGAGCCCAGTGCAGAGCTCGAACCCATGTACCGGGAGATTATGACTTGAGCCAAAGTTGGACACTTAACCAGCTGAATCACCTAGGTACCCCAATTTTTATGATTTTTAAGTGGCTTATTATTCAATAATAGACAAGCTGAACAATCTTTGTTTCACTTCTAAATAGCTGCAAGAAATATTAGAATCTCATATAAGCAGAAGGGAGTTATCCCAAGACTTCACTGGGGCCTTTCAAGGGAAACTTGGGCAGGAATGGGTAGAAAGGCAAAGCCACTTTGTAGCATAATTTAACATTACTGAAACCACCGTCAGGTCTCCCATCTTCAAAGGCTTGTCCAATGATTGAAAACTAGTGGATGAAATGAGGAAGGTATTGATCATGCATGTGCACGGTGCAGGTATTTAATGTACATTAGCTCACACAATTACCAAAAACACCCTATAGTATAGTACTAGGCTTACACTGAGTAACTAGCTCAAAGACACAGAACTCAAAAACCAGCACCTAAACCCAGACCTGTTTGACTCCGATTCCTATGCATGTGCCACTGTACTATGTTGACCCTCAAGACATAAACCCTTAGATATACAAACATTTAAAATGTAAGTTTTTGGGTGCCTGAGTGTCTCAGTCAGTTAAGCATCCAACTGTTGATTTTGCCTCCGGTCATGATCTCACAGTCAGGAGATCGAGCTCTGCATCTGGCTCAGTACACTGGGTGTGGATCCTGTTTAAGATTCTTTCTCTCCTGGGGCACCTGAGTGGCTCAGTCTGTTAAGCACCTGACTTAGGCTCAGGTCATAATCTCATGGTTCGTGAGTTCAAGCCTAGTGTCGGGCTCTGTGCTGACAGCTCAGAGCCTGGAGCCTGCTTCGGATTCTGTGTCTCCCTCCCTGCCCCTGCCCTTCACAGTCTGTCTGTCTCTCTATCAAAAATAAATAAACATTAAAAAAAAAAAAAAAGATTCTCTCCATGCCCTGCTGGCATGTACATACTCTCTTTCTAAAAGAACAAATAAAATGTAAGTTTTCATTTGTATGTAGGTTTCACTTATTCCTGATATCTTTTGTGTCATTATCTTAAATAATGAGCAAATATATAACATTCAACTAAATCAGCAATATGAGAATGGCTACCAGCCAGCACCATATCAACAAAGCAGAATTCAGTATTGGAAAACGTACATTTCATCCAAGTATACCTAGTAATTGGAAGAAACAAACTTTAGAGCCTCTTTGATTCTTGATTCCATGATTTTATACACTCCCTTATAAGGATTTTTTTAATATTGAATTTGCAGTCACAGAACCTAGACATGCTTCTTCCTAGCTGAATGACTTTGGACAAGTCACTTCACTTCTCAGAGTTTTAGTTTCCTCCCTGATTACCAGATGATACAGGGACTTAGCTCTAAGGGTTCGTGTGAGAATTAAATGAGATAATGTATTTTTTAAAAGTAATCTCTACACCCAATATGGGGCTTGAACTCACAACCTGAGATCAAGGGTTGCATGCTCTACTGCCTGAGCCAGCCAGGTGCCCTGAGATCATGTATTTTTAAAAATTTTGAAACTAGAAAATGGCATATAACTATTATATTATTATAGGCTAACCACCTTATGACAGCTTCTTAATATAAATGTTAAATAAAGTATTGTTTAAGCTGAATTATATCTGAATTATAACTATGATATTAGCTACTTTTCATACACCACTTAAATTGCTAATTCTAACAGCAATTGAGTGAGATGTAATTGTGCC